GAATAACTTGGCTTCGTCCCTTTCGCCCCGGCGCGCTCCGACCCCCATCCATCCTCCTTTGGCCGGCTCTGGCTGGGGTCTACCACAGGTAACCTTCTCACGCAGAGTCATCCTTCTGGCACGCAATTCCGGCACGTCAACTTCATCCGCACCACGCCACCATGCGATTCTCCAACCTACTCCTCGCGGCCTCGGCCCCCGTGGGCCTCTTCGCGGCAGAAACTTCAGACCAACTCTCACCAGGGGAGCTTGCGGCGCTCCTAGAGAAACACAACTTGGCAATCGTGCCAAAATCGGAGTTGACAGACGCGCTGACGGAACTCAACGCCCTGCTCAAAAGCCAGCGAGTACAGCCACGCCAGTTTGCCCCGAAGTTCGCGAGGCAAAACACCACAGCAACAGCCTCCTCCGACTCGAGTTCCGGGGATGGCGATGGCGTCTCGGCGAAGGATATTCCCGGTCTGGGAGATTTGGGAGACGTGTTGGGGGGTCTCTTCAAACCTCTCGAAGACTTCACTGGCCTTCTGAAAGCGCTCGAGGGCCTGCTCACGGCCGAGTTCCTCCAGAGCCTCCACGATGCGATGGTCTACCTCGCCCAGACTCTGCAGCCGCCCGCGCCAGCCTTGATCCAGAGTCTCCTGAAGAAGGGCGGGCCGCTCATCGACATGCTCGGCGAGATCGACCTCAAGGGCCTCCTGGACCAGCTCAAGGATGTCGACCTCGCCAGCCTGGTCGGCGCCGCGCTGAAGCTCCTTTCGGAGCAGAACATCAACAACATCGAGTCGCTGGTCACAAACGGCGCGGCCCTGCTCACTCCCTCGTTTGTCAATCAGACCTCGACGCTCATCGGAGACGTCTCGCCGCTGCTGGGCGAGTTGAGCCCGTTGCTCGAGAAGGTTACGCCCTTGCTCGACAAGCTCGGCGGTCTGGATCTCGACGGCATTCTCAATGCCGTGGCTCCGTTACTCACCCCAGAGTCCATCAAAGGCATTGTGACCTTGTTGGACAACGCCGAGGCCCTGCTCACGGCCGACTTTGTGAAGCAGATTGGCGGTCTTCTAGGGTCTGTTGGTCCCTTGCTCGACAAGCTCGCGGGCCTCGATCTGGAAGGCATCTTGAATGCTCTCGCACCTTTGCTTACGCCGGAGTCTGTCCAAGGCATTGTCACATTGCTCAAGAACGCCGAGGCTTTACTGACGGCCGAGTTCGTCAAAAGTATTGGCGGTCTTCTCGAGTCTGTCGGTCCACTCCTCGAGAAGGTCTCGCCCCTGCTTGACAAGATCGGTGGCTTGGACCTGGAGGGCATACTCGACGCCGTTGCGCCTCTCTTGACGCCAGAGTCCATCAAGGGCATCCTGGGCCTGCTCAACAACGCAGAGAGCCTGCTTACGACCGACTTCGTCGGCAATACCAAGACGCTGATCGGCGACGCAACACCGCTGGTGTCGACGCTTGCGGGCCTCGACCTGCCAGCCCTGCTCAAGAAGCTCCAGCCTTTGCTCGACGCCCTGGGCGAGATCGACCTGAAGGCCATCCTCGACGCCCTCTCGCCCTTACTAACACCCGACAGCATGACGGGCGTCGTCAACCTACTCGACAACGCCGAATCCCTTCTCACGACAACCTTCGTCAACCAGACCCACACGCTCATCAGCGGCGCGGTGCCGCTCATCAGCGCCCTCGACAAGGTCGACATCGAGGGCTTGTTCGCCATCATCGAGCCGCTGCTCAAGGAGCTGGACGGCATCGACCTCAGCGGCCTGGTCGACACCATCAAGCCCGTTCTGGAGGCCGTCAAGAAAATCGACATCAAGGGCATCGTCGACCAGATACTGCCGCTGCTCACGCCGGCCAGCATCAAGGCCATTGTCGGGCTTGTTAGTAATGCTGGTGTGCTGTTGAGTAAGACGTTTGTGACGCAGACGTCGGAGCTTATTGATGATGCTACGCCGGTATGTTCTTTTTCGTTGTGTGTGTCTTGGTGATGATCTGTTGGCTAATGTGTTATGCTTGCAGCTCGTGGCAACTGTTGCCGACCTCGTGCATGCCATCTTGAAGGAATTTGTGGGCAAGCGGGAGGCTTGAGTGGGATGAGGAAGGGGCAGTGTCAGTCCTCCTTTGGTTGGATTAGTTGCCAGCATACATGTAGTGTCTGGGTTCACATTTACGTAGTGTTTAATGTCTCTCCGTTACTGCTACGGGAAACGGTGGCTGAGGACAAGAGAACAGTACTCTGCTAACCCACCCCGGTACTGCAAGGCTGCAACAGTGAACCCAAGGCACGTCTTTACTTGACGATTCGAACTTTCATTGTTGGTCTAGTTAGGGGTTGAGGATATTACTGCATTCGTCCTCAGTCGGAATTGGCATTTGTCGTGTATACAGGCACCGAGGAATAATACGTTTCACTCACTCTGCTGTCTCTGCTGCAAGGCACCCCTCAGTTGTGAACCGAACAGACAGCATCTGGACACCGTCGCAAGCACGACTGAGGGCATGTTCTGGTCTCCAGAACTTGGTGACTCGGAGCAGAGCCCAGATCGGGATGAGGAGACCATCGGGGTTTCCACCCCAGATTTTCCAGAGCTAGGTTTTCCCCACGAGAACCTCGGCAGTGGAGTGCGGGGAAGATCTCCACGACTGCCGTCACGCGATCGCTCGGGGCACGGATGGCTGGAAATTAGGATTGGTTGATCATTAGCATTATCGCAAGCTAAACCACTTTCAAGATGAACCGATCGGCCGGGGTGGGAGGACCCGCCCAGCACAAGCACATGTGAGTTGTGGTGAGATTCATGTTGAGAAGCAGTCGTTTGCAAGTTCTATCACGGTCAGGGTAGTATCGCAGGAAGTACCACATGCACACAATTCCCATGTTGGAAGTCACCCCCGGATTCTAGACCGGTGACGTCTAGGTAGTCCATCCGGCGCCGTTCAGGTTGTTGACACCCAGTTATCATCCTTTCCTACCTTATCATGTGTCTCTATCAGGGGTAACAAGGTCACGGTGTGTCTGTGCCTCTGCCTTGTTGATAGTTCCAGAAACACCAGCCTTCATCGCGAGCCTCAAGCTTTGGCGCCTTGAATTGCTCAAGGGGTCATTGTCTCAGTCATGGCCACGCAACCCGAGGGAGGGCCAAAGAGCTCCGCCACACAGGGAGCAGACTCAGCAGGGCCTCGGGCAGACAATGTCCAAGATGTTGCCTCCTCGTTCGATCATGGCGATGTCGACAAAGAACAGCGGGCGGTGCTTTCCTTATGGCAAAAAATAAAGCAACATGTCCGGCGCAGGTGGTGGATGTACCTGATCGCGATTATCATCTTGCTCGCGATATTACTACCCATCTTGTAAGTGCCTCTCTGTCGCCGAAGATGTTCAATTTGAGCCTAAACCGAATTCAAGGTTCAAAGTCATCATACCAGCCATCATCAAGAACATCGTCGATAACCAATCGCTGCCCGTGAAGGGGGGCGCTCTCAACTTTACCGCCCCAACACGGCTGCACATCAACCTCGACACCTCGCTAGACACTCCCCTGGGAGTGAAGATCGATCCCCTTGCACTCAGCTTACTCCGACCCCCAACCGACGGCGCTGCTGGCACCGAGACGCCGTTCCTGACGATACAGATGCCAGAGCAGCACATCAACCACGAAACCGAGGTCGCCATCCCTGACCAAATCGTCGACATCCTGGACTACGAACAGCTCGTCGCATGGTTCAACGAGTTCTTCGACAAGGAAACAGCCGACCTCCGCCTCAAGGCCGACCAGTTGAGCGCCCATCTCGGCGCGCTCGACTACCAAGTCGACCTGGACAAGACGGTCAAGGTCCCCGGGCTCAACTACCTCAAAGGCTTCGGCGTGCGCGACATGCAGTTCACCATCCCGCCGGGGCCCTCGGGGCACAACATGAAGGGGCACCTCAACATCCCCAACGCCGGGGTCCTGACGCTGGGGATGGGCAACGTGTCGTTCAACGTCATGTCCGGCGACGTCAACCTGGGGCTGGTGTACATCGACAACCTGGACCTGAAGCCGGGCAACAACACGCCGCCGTTTGTGGGCGACTTTTACTTTGACGCGCTGGTGCCCAACCTCGCGGCCTTCATGGAGACGCAGCGCGGCCCGCTCGCCGACGGCATGGTCGAGCTCAACGCCACGGGCAACTCGACGTTTCACAACGGCCAGCGCATCAAGTACGCCGAGGGCGTGCTTAACGGCAAGCACATCCCCTTCCGCATCCCGGCCACGACGCTGGTGCTGGACGTGCTGAGTGGTGTGCTGGCGGGCGGCACGAGCGGTTCGGAGCTCCCGTTGCTCGACACGCTCGGCGACGTGCTGGGGAACAAGACGCTGTTTGGGCAGGTGCTGGGCTATTTTGAGCCGGGGAGTGTTGGTGGAGGAGCCCCAGGGGCAGGCAGCAACGCAGATGATACGGAAACTGCCAAGGTGAAAAGGACGGCGGCGCAAGCACTTGGGAGGTCGATGCAGATGAACCTTTTTAGGCTGGGCTTGCGTACATTGCGGTCCAAGTTTTGATGGATAGGAGCATGGTAGGAGATACCACAGCTCAGCAATACGGCCGAGCTCAAGGTACATGTTTCATGTGTTATGTTAGTACCACGAAGTCAAGACAACTTGGCTTTCACCCTTCCTCGAGGGACAATACCTCCACAACGCCCTGTTCTGAGCCTTCCCACGGCTTCCTGTTCTCTCCGGTGTACGGCTCACCGTGTGGACTCGGGCTGTCCGCCAAACATCTCTCTGACTCGTACCACGCCGCCTCCCCTTTTGCACAGCCGCCCGGCCGGAAACCCTGCTTCAACAAGCCCGCCGGGTCAATGGCAGAGCTTCTTCTGACCATCCGGTGGGTTAGGGTTGCTTGCCAAGCGCCTTCATGACTCGTACAACTCCACACCGCCCTCAGCCGTCCACCCAGTCACCCTGAACAGGCGGACGGCCGTTAGCCTGATTCCAACAAGTCCAAATGGCAGAAACGGTCCGCTGGCTCAATGGCAGAGCGTCTGACTACGATGAGTAATCAGGAGGTTCCAGGTTCGACCCCTGGGTGGATCGAGATCATTGTTTCTTCATCTTTTGTCGCTCTCCCTTTTTCACCCCCTTTTTCTTTTTTCTCGCTATTTTTTTTTTCTCGCTCCCCAGATCACTTCTGCACCGCGAACACAAAATTTACACAGGGTTGGTCTCCCCGAAGCTCTAGCTCCCTCGAATCTTCCGACGAAGGCTCGACAGCTAAACAAAAACACCTCGTTACCCTGCAATTCCGAGACCACCTAGCTAAAGGACTTGATGAAATATTCAGGTGACTCTCGCCGGTACGCAGTGGGATAAACGCCAAGAACCGTCTATATTTCCATCCCAGAATCCCCAATACCCAAAGGAAAGCCGCGCTCCTCCAAATGCCATCTGATCCGAACACTGTCCCAACCAACACTCCCTCCACTACCTCCAAGTCTTTGCATGAACGCAAAACGCGACCTCACATGAAGGCTACACCCTCTCCCCCTCCCCCTTCCCCTTCTCCCCCACATCCAACCTCCTCACAACCCTCGCCGGATTCCCCGCAACCACCACAAAGTCCTCCACATCCCTCGTCACCACGCTCCCGGCCCCGACCGTCACCCCCCTCCCAATAGTCACGCCGGGGCACACGATGACGCCCCCGCCAAACCAGCAGTCTTCACCCACCCGAATCGGCTTGCCGGCCTCGGGTCCGCTCAGGCCGTTGCGCACGAAGGGGTCGAGCGGGTGCGTGGCCGCGTAGAAGCTGCAGTTGGGCCCGATCAGGGTGCGTGCGCCGATGGTGATGGTGCACGTGTCGAGGAAGGTGCAGTTGGAGTTAATGTAGACTTGGGGCCCGAAGCTGGGATCGCCTTTGTGTGAGTTTTGGAGTAGGGGGAGAAAGGGGGGGTGCTTACGTGCATTGGGTGCCGTAGTCGAGTTTGATCGGGCCGTCGACCCAGGGGTAATTGTTCAGGGCGGCTTCTTCTTCGGGGGTGCCTGGTTGTGGGAGGGGGGTTTCGTCGCGGAGGATGCTGGGGGCGGTCCGTGAGTGAGGGGTTCAAGGAGAAGGTGGGGGGGGGAGGGGGGATGTCATACTCTTTCCACAACTCGACCAGTCTCCGGCGCGGGGCGCCGCTGGCGCACTGCGTGTTGTAGACGCCGCAGGCGACCTTGCACCGGGCTCGGTCGGCCGTGAGATCAGGGGTGAAGGCGTAGTACAGCTCGCCGGCGAGCATGAGGCGCCGATTCTCGGCGGGGTCAAGGGTATTTGGGTCCATGGTGGCGGTAGATTTGTCTCGGGCGTCGTGAAGAGTTGACTTTGGCTAGTTGACTTGAGTGTCTCGTGTCTCGAATCTAGTTGTTGAGTTTAAAGTAGAAGTTGATGAGCCGATCAATCTTGCTGTCCGGTTGTTGGGTTTCAGGTGAAACGTGGCAGCGCCGCGCCGCAGGCTCGGGGCGCGCCGCCTCCGTCTCCGCCTCCCCTCCCTTAAACAGCAGACACAGTAAGACCGCGGGGTCCAACTGTAGGAGTTGCCAGAGCGGGCCTAGTTTGACCTGGTGGGGATCGCCAAGTCACGAGCTGGCGCATCAGGGGCCCAGGGTCAGCGCAGAGACGCGAAGCCGAACCAAAACCCTCGCCATTATCGTGTCCAGAAATTAATTCTACATCCCCCAGCACGTTATATACTGAATGGGGGCATGCCTCTGACATACCGCCAGATTGTTGGCCATGCCCATTCGTTGATTTTTTCCTTTATTACGCGGCCCACAGTGGCCTTCATCCTCTCATTCAGGGGATCATCAAGCAACAGGGACTGCAAGTTCATTCTTGAAAGCACGTTTCCACGTGCATTGTGACCCCATGCTTAGGAGCAGTTGAGTCTGACCAGACAGGGACTGTAGCCTTCAGCAATGTGAGCTCTGTTGAGGGCCGTCACGCGCGATCATTGTGGTTCGGTTTGCGTGAGACAACGTATCATCACCCTTTTAAGCCTGCACCATCTAACTGCCTATCTTACCTACCAAGCCTTACCTACCTATACTGTATTGCCTCAAACAACTATGTCCGTCCGCTTCTCAATATCCCCCCTAAATACTTCACTCTCGCTCGGCTGGCTCAGCTCCGGCCGGGGCTCCGGCGTGCCGCTTTAAGCGGGCCAGGTGAGCGCGGGTGAGCCTAGCTGCCTCAGTGAGGCTCGCCGCTAGTTAGAGTTGCATGCAAACTTAGCGGATTGTGAAGCGAGATTTGTTGGATCAGTTAGGGGAAAATTCGAATTAAATAAAACAGCCGTTCTTCCTCAGTCCACGATGGGAGATCTTTCCCTCTCTCGTCTTTCCCCTTCCCTGCTCCGGAATCAACATCTTCTCCTCAAAATGGTCCATTCTATTCGCTCCGTCGCGCTCGCCACGCTACTCATCCTCCCGTACACCGTCACGGCCTCCTACTACCAGGAGGTGGAGGATGGCCCGAACGTGCTCGACGAGTGCGTGGCATGCCCGCGCATGTACACCAACCTCTATGAGTGCCAGAAGATCGCGCAGCCCGGCCGAGTAGGCGACGAGGTCAGGAACTGCGTGTGCGTGCCGGCCTACGACGGGTGGTATACCTACCTCGACTCCTGCCGCGGCTGTCTGCCGGGGACGGGCACCGACGACTTCTGGGGCAACATGGGCCGGATGATGACCCACCTCTACCACACTTGCCTCTCCTCCGGCAACATCACCAGCGATGGGTCCGTCCTCTGCGCGAGCGACGAGAAGACTGAAGACTGCATGGCGCTGAGGGACAGCTCGCAGGGCGAGACCCGGGTCAGTTTTAGGTGGTTGGACGATGCAACTGGAAAATACGACAGCAACAGGACGCAGCTTCTCAATCTTGCGGCGGTGAAGGCGAACCTGACCACGTCGACTACCGTCGAACCGGCTGCGTCCACGACGATCGCCACTGGAACGGCAGCCACTGGATCGGACACCACGGCCTCGGCCTCGACTACCACGCCAGCCACTGGAACGGGCAGCCAAGTTCCGTCTGGCACGACCGGTCAGCAAAGAACCACAACCACGGCAGCCCCGTCCTTTGCAGCTCGCTTGAGTCAAGGATCTCAGGCGGGATACGTTTTGGGGATGTTGATTGTTGCGGGGATTGTTGGTGGACTGCTTTAACCTGAGGGTTGGGCTTGTATCGATCATGAGCATCCAATTTGTAATTACTGTTATATAGACGAATGAAGAGGGTGGGTGGCCTGAGTGTTTCAGAACGTCCAGTCGTGAGCATGTTTGGTTTGCCGGATTGTAAAGTATCAAATACAGTATAATCACGGAACACCTCGATATGCACGCCTTGTTGTTTCTTTTCCCAAATACAACTGCCCTGAGCAGTAATTATTTGGCGCAAGTTTCCAATTAAATGTATTATAATCGATCAAGAAACCGCGGTGGTGATCATCAAGTCGAACCTGGCTTGTCAGGGGCTCCGTCCCTCAGGGGCAGCCCACAGCGACCCGAAGCTCGACCGAAGTCCTTACCCCATCCGTATTATATCGATTTCAAGTCCATGGTAGGTATGTGAAGCCGTGTTGGGGGGGTGGGGGGGGAGGTTACTGGTTTAGGCGTGTAGTTGTTTTGTTTCTTTCTGGTTCTGGCCTAAACCAACCTTTTCCTAGTTGGCACTGGGTTGAGCCATTCTCCAAGAGTGACAGTAGAACGGGACGCCTGAGACTACGGGTAACGCCTACACAAGGACCGTTGCCCGATGACGTTCAGCGCGCGGTGACGTGGGACAAGGGCTGCAGCTGAGAACCGATACAGGTAAAGATCATGCCGAGGAAGTTTAGGATCCATAAACCTTTCGTCTTGTCGCTGTGGCTGGTGACACCACGTTTCTTGGCAGTTGACTTGTTATGATCCACGACTGGGCAGTTTTGATATGTAATCCTTGGAATATTGACTTGGAATGGCACTGGCCAATGCTCCAGCTCCCTTCCTCCTCCTCTCAACGCTAACAACTGCTAGATGCTGTGACAAACTTGATCGATATGTACATGAGGTGCCTTAAGGACAAGAGCCATTGGTGTTCTTTCAGGCCGCGAAGGAGCGAGCCTTGGCGCCACCTGTGCCCTTCCAGACGGGAGGTCCGGGAACCTTGTAGGTCTGGGGGAGGGAGTGGTCATTGATGGGGACCTGGAACAAGCAGTTAACATCACATCATCTTCTGTCCTCAATACGGGCATGCTGCTTACCTTGATATTGGAGTCGCTGTTGCTGCAGTAGCCGGGGATGGCGGCCTTGTACGAGGCGTCGGGCTGCGCGGAGCCGGAGCCGGTGACGACGACCTGGGCGCACTCCGGGTACCACTGCGGCGCGTTGGCCTGGTGCAGGGCGATCAGCTCGTGGCGGACCAGGTAGTTGCCTGGCGCCAGTCCCTGCGGGATCTTGCTGCTGTACTGCTTGTTGCCGCCGACTAGGTCGGCGATCTTCCAGCCCGACGGCCGCTCCGTGTCGAGGAACACCGTCTTGCCGTCGCCGCTGAAGCCGGCCTCGTCGATCTTGAACCAGCCCGAGCCAGATCCGTCGCACGAGCTGAAGGCGCCCGCGCACTTGTACATCCATACCAGGATCGGACCCTGGGAGTGCGTCCACTGGCCCCAGACAGCCGTGATGGTGTCGCCGGGTGCCGCCGTGGCGCTCTCGGTCGCCGAGGTGCCGCCGTTGCAGCGCAGCTTGGAATCGGTGGCCGAGGTGACCGGGTTGTAGTCACTCCATTGCCGCTGGATGACGTTCGGAGAGTTGCTGGGAGAAAAGCCTTGATATCTGCGGGGCAAGTCCGTTAGCAGTCGACTGCCCTGACACCGCATTCCCAATGTCTAATAATAGAGGTAATTATTCTTACCCAGGATAGTTCTTGCCGGCGATGATGTAGCTCGTCACAGCACCATGGGCAGCAGCTCCCCCTGCAAGCAGGGCAACCGAGCCGAAGAGCGACGTGAAAAGCATTCTGATCCTTGAGGTATGCACCACGGGCTGGTTTCAACGGCACGATCCAGGAATGGTCC